GTGGTTTCAGCGGGGGGGGGGGGGGAGGGGGTGCTGATCTCAAAGTGAACCCATGAACCACTTCTGGTTGCCCAGTTAATCATATGACATGAAATCCCACGACATTTTACTATAAAAAATAAAGAATTCAGGGCCAGATGTTGTGGATTAAACAAAGAATGACTTCCCTTTAACACAGATGGCTATATAGTTTAAAAAATGTGTGAAAACATTCAGTACTTTCAACCTACAAATCACATCATACCGTAACAAAATGAACTTGCGATAGAATTAAATCCACCTCCTGACTGATAACACTACTCTTGCCTGCTGGTTTTTATAGACAGCTCTAATGAAAACCCTTCATTAAATAATTACATAAATCAATTCGTTAAATAATTTAGTTAATTGTTTATTTTCTTTATTTATTTAGTCATTTATCAAATGAGGACAACAGAAGCAATCAATTGTAGTATTAAAACAACTAAAAACAGATCCAAAACTAAAAGCTAAAACTTTATAAATACTACCTATACACATTTTTAAAATAAAGAGATTAAATAAAAATGACAAATGCATACAACAACATTTCAAAACTTAACATTCAAATGAAAAACTAAAAATAAAGCTAAAAACAATTCAAAATATTAAAGAACAAAAGGTGTAAGAGTATAATAATGATTCTAACATAACACTAAGCCAAACACCAAAAAAACAACTACATGTATGTGTACAACCCCACACACATACATATATACTGTCTATGTACATACACATTTATAAATGCAATATATATATTATTTCATTTCCATTTAGTTTGTTGAGGTATTAAAATAACTCAAATTAAATAAAACTAAAAACTTGATAAAAGACATATACAGACATAATAAATTCCGACATAATGTAACTAAAATTAAAATAAATAACCAATACAAATAATGCAAATCAAATGACAGTAGTTTATCAGTAATCCTAAAAAATAACACTGCCAAAAACACATGCTAAAAAACAACAACTTACTTACACAGTAAGAAATGGTTATAAAAACTGAAACAGAAGCGAAACAAGTAATAGGAAAGAGGAGAATTGTGTGTTAAGGGTTTGATTATACTTAAATAAAACACATAACACAAGCACTAATATTTAATAGTATTTAAATGTTTATTATTTATTTTAAAAAATGGTATTTCTAAAAAAAAACACATTTCCATTTGTTTTGTAAGTTTGGTCTGAGTTCTTGATGCTTTTACAACGTGTTCACCAGCATGTGCTGTTTCAAGTGCTTCGAAACATCGATTCAGTTGATTCAATGCTTCGAAAAGCTTCGTTTCTCCCATACACATTTTCCATGACACCGGAAAGGCTGGCATCATCTTCCTGTGAGCAAAACCAATACATTTACACTGGAAGAATAAGAGAAATGATTATGAATAATGATACTTTATACTGAAAGAGGACTGTGAGAAAGGAATCCCACATCTAAACCCATAGAAATGTAAACACATGTCGAAGTCTGCAGCGGACATTTTACTACAGGTAAAACAAGGTATCAACTAATCTAAATTAATAAACAGCTCGATCAGGTTGATTTCCATACAGTATTACGAAGAATTGTGCGAGTCAATATATGATGTAATAATGTGTTTTGTTTGCTGGTGTTAAATGATAAATGTTAGTTTCTTTAACCTAAACAACGCCCCTCAGCCTAATGTGAACAAGTGCAGATATTTAATCTGAATTTTTGCGCTTTAACATTCTGAAAAGTAATACAATTAATTTCAAACTAACAATTTAGACAAACACGTCGTCCACTGTGATTGGCTTCCTCGAATGACCGCACTAACGCTCCCCTCCTGCAGATGGCACCCTCTACATTCTAGTCCGGCATTTTATACCGGAAGTATCGGATGGACAGTGGCTCACCTTATTTCTTCTGTATGCTCATGCAACTTGATTTGAGCTTTATTATTGTCCGTCGTGACAAAACCGTTTTAACCCTGGCGGCAGTTACTATCACGCAGTATTCGGTTGTGGTTTATTATCATAATAGACTGTCGTTGAGCAGTTAATAAACCCGGCATGAACAGAGATTGATTGTTGCATTGCTGAACAGAAGGTCTTTCAAATGCTCGTCGAAGACTTCTAGGTAATGAAGTAAGCTTGCTTCTGTATTCACTGTGGTGTTTGAATGAGCAGATCGAAAATGTTCAAAATGGTGCTGTGTCTTTAAACCATGCAGTTTATCTTAGATGTTGTAGACACTATGTTTGCTTATATACAATATGTAATCTGTACAATTGTATTTATGTAAATTATTGAAATAAAAAAATGATTTTAAACAAATGATATAGGAACACACACATGCTATGCTTAAATATGTGGTACATGTGGCTCTATTAATGAAGAAAAAATGACCCAAACTTCGTTAATGTCTTGTCAGCAAAATTGAACAAACTTGCACAGATCATTTTTCATATTTCTCTTCAAGGCATCATGTCAGAGTTTACCCTCGATATCCAGCTGACAGAGTTGGGTTTTTCAAACTGGAATTTCCCTCTGTGTGAGCCACAGAGCGTTAAAGAGAACTTTTTGCCAACCCAGAACGGCACTGAAAAGCCAGCACCAGAGACTGAAACCCCCACAGACTGTCCTGAAGATGCCTGCATTGTTGCGAGCTCATCGGCTGACAAAAGCTTTCTACAGGATCATCAGTATTACACTCCCTTCAAAGATAACTCTTCAAGTAACGGAGAAACAGCTCAAAGCAATTCCAAAATCAGTTCCACAGAGAAGAAGGATAAAGTCATTTGCAATTTGTGGAAAAGAGGAAGAGGAAGAAGAAGAGAAGGGCCAGAACAGAGAAATGATGATGATGATGAAGAGCAAAACGGAAAAGAGGGAATGAAAAATAATGACAAGAAACAGAAATGTTCAGATGTGAGCCAGGAAGCCTCCGGTCTCATAATAGATGATGCTGTGTCTGGTGAAGAAATGACAGATGAGGATGCAGAATTTATTTTGACTGATGATGATGTTGTGGAGGAGGAGGAAGATGATGTTGTGGAGGACAAGGAGGAGGAGGAGGAAGAAGATGATGATGTTTCGTGGTCAGGTACTGTATCATTTTCCAAGCAATGGTTTGTGATTTAGTTTATACTCTATTTTGTAGATTGTTATTTACCTTATTTAAGAATAATAACAAGTTTTTTATTGAAGCTTTTTATTATTAACTTTATTTATTTATTGTGTTTATTGTCATTTTTCTTTAAATATCTTTGGCATTGTGTAATGATAAATGAATCTTTAAATACACAAAAAATGGCAAATTAATGTATTGTTTAGCCAATCTAAAAATAAATATATTTTTTTCACACTGTATGTAATGTATAATAAAACATTTAAAATAATTTGAGATTTTTAGTTTTTCATTTATGTTTAAAAAAATGTTTATTTGCAGAAATATGTGCTAGAAAAAATATTTTTCTCTGTTATATATAATTTTTTAAGCTCTGAAGGAAATAATGCATTATTTATCGGCTTTAAGATATCGGCCAAATTTTCTTATCAGGCCGATACCGATAACAGAAAAAATTTGCATTTATCGGCCGATACCGATATGGTGGCCGATATATCGTGCATCCCAATTTTTAAGTACAATGAACTAGTTGTTATTTTAAATTATTCAGGAAAAATGTAACTCCTTGATAGCTATACTGTAACATAAACACCTTTTTTGTTGGAAAGTGATGGTATATAATGCTAAACTTTTCTGGTTACAGCAGCTACTGATACACGTTGTTCTTCAATTTCAGAGACAAATGGATCTGGAGAGAATGAAGAGAATCGTTGCCATGTATGTGATCTCACTTTCTCCTCTCTCTTCTTACTCCGAGAACATTTAAACATGCATACGGGTGTTCGCCCCTACCGCTGCGATGAATGCGGCAAGCAGTTCTGCCAATTAGTCAATTACCGTACGCACCTTCGCTCCCACTCCCAGAAGGCCTCCATCCACTGTCGTGTTTGCTCAACCATCTTTGAGACCGAGGAACAGCTCCAGCAGCACTTGGACACCAACCATTTTGAGAAAGAGTTCTATCAGTGTGATTTTTGCAAGCAGATTTTCACTGACCTAGATGTGTGCAAGGGCCACGTCGAAGCACACAGGCAACAGGCAAAGCGACATTTGTGCCTCAAATGTGGCACTAGTTTTCGCCTTCGCAACTCACTGCTCCGTCACCTGGAATGGCACAACAGAGGCATCTTCTCCTGCTCGGACTGTGAGCGGACCTACTCCAGCAAGGCTTCTTTGTTACGCCACAGTTTCTCTCACTTAGGCATCTTGCCATATACGTGTCTAAAGTGCAAACGTCATTTCCGTTTACCCTCTCTCTACCACAACCACGAGTGTAAGCCCGAGAACATCCAGTGCATGGCGTGTTTGGTTTTCTTTCAGAGTCAAGAGGACTTTGATAAGCATAAGAAGGACACAGGATGCTGGGGTCATCAAGGAGCTTTGCCTACCAAGACAGACGAGATCCGCTGCATGGAATGTGGCCAAGTCTTTGCAAGCATTGAGGAATTAAAGAAGCACGGAAGCACGCACCAGAGGGTCCTAAAATGTGCTGAATGTGGGATGGGTTTCCGCTCGTCACTCATGCTTATGTCACACATGGGAGGGCATGCGGGACAGCGGCCGTGTTTCTGCCAGGACTGTGGCCTGGGCTTCCCACATCAGCAGGGTTATGACAGCCACCTGAAGACATGTGGAGTGGTGACACCACCAGTGGTAAGCTCTTTCTCTCTCCCTCTCTCTCTCTCCCTCTCTCTCTCTCCCTCTCTCTCTCTCTCTCTCTCTCCCCCTCTCCCTTCCTCCTTCTCCCTCTTCTTCTTCATTCTAAGAATACTAAATGTCCTGTATGCTGAAATTTTAAAACATATTAATAAATAAAAATAGAGAAAATTCACATTGATTGAATTTGACAATAGTAAAACAATTTATTATTTTTATTTATTTATTTTGGCTGATTTAAATAAACCTAAAATAAAATATAAATATTAGATGAAAACTTTGAAGTTGAAAAATTAGCTGAAACTGAAAAACTTAACTAAACTGAACTAATACTAAAATATGAAAGTTATAAATAAAAACTACACAAAACCTAATAAATGTGGCACAGAACATAAAATTACTAAAACAAACTGAAGTTAAAAATATAAAAATAAAAGCTTTCTTAAAGGAATAATTCACCTCAAAATTAAAATCATCATCATTTACTCATCCTCAAGTTGTTCAAAACCTGTATGAATTTTTTTAATGCTGAGCACAAAAACAGATATTGACTTTGTATATACTATGTAAGTTGATGGGGACCAGAAATAGGTTTGGAAAAACTTGTGTAAATGATAAAAAAATTTACATTTTTGGGTGAATTATCTATTTAAAATTTAACTAAATAACAGCGTTTGGTAAAGATTGGTTGAAACTGAAAGCCTTGTGATTGTTAACAATTACACTGGCATTAACAATTATTAGTTTTAAGAAAGAAAATCAAAAAATTCCTTGCCACATACTTTCAAGCACTATTCTCTGAAAAAAATGCTTTGGAATGATTTTATTGTGAAACGTGCCATATAAATAAATTGATTTGAAAATTTTGGTTGTTTTATACATTTAACAGTAGGTTAATAGTCAATATTTTCAAGAAAGTGTTTTTATTTGGCTTTAGAAAAATTTGTTTGGCTTTAGTAAAATTATAGTAAAAATATTTAATTCTACTTTTTAAAAAAATTATGGAAAAAGTTCGGAAACCCCTGTTTATAGAAGTTATATAAATATGTTGGGAAAAAAAACAAATGTCTTTTTACTGTAAAAGTTTAATTCTGTTTACAGGCTGCTGTGAAGAAACCCAAACCAAAAGCAACTCCCTCTCCACAAATAATCAAGCCAATTACTCCTAACATAATCATCCAAACTGTTGCTCAAGCCTCAGCACCTGCCACATTCCCCAGTAGCTTGAAGGGAGTCCACATGGTTCCATTCGGTGACAAGAATAAGTCAGCTGATGGTAAGTGGAAGTTTACTTTAAATAAAGAGCCTCCTCCAGATATGCCTTTGGTCATGTTTCTGCCAGTTCCCACTACACAGTTCTCAGCTACCTCAGTTCCTACCAAGAGCTCCCAAAACCTTTTACCATCCTCTCTGGTCTTAGAAACAACCTCATCTGCTCCACGTGTCATTTCCATGCCGGTGGTCCCGTCTGGCACTGTCATTAGTAAAGAGGTAGAGAAAGACACTGTAGAGCCCAGCAGAACCAACATTCCTTCAAACACACTCATTCCACTGCAAAGTCATGACCATATCTCTCAGAAGAGGTGGACCGTTTTAGAAGATCAGGGTTCTGTTCAAATGTTTGCTACAGAAAATGTAAAGGCAGGGGAACAGGCTGCAGGTGTGACTGTAGCAAATCAGGGAACGAATGTTACTGCTCAAGTAGAAGTGGAGAATAAGCAGGAAACTCAATCAAATTTGAAGCCTAATGCACTGGGTGATGAAAAAATAGTTCCAGGTAGTTCATCAGAAAATGCGTCTCTGAATCCCACGTGCCCCAAGACACCATTATGTCTAATAAAGTTAAAGGAGGAGAAGGATGGTGGTGACAACATCAAGAAAAGCTCTTCAAATTTGAAGGACCATGACTCCTCACCTGTAATGGCAGGAGTAGAAGTTTTAAAGAGAAAACCGGAAAAGCAAACGCTGGATTCTATGCAAACAGGCTCTCATGATCTAGTCTATTGTTCTTCAGAAATGACTTACCACAAAAAGGCCACTAAAGATGAGAGATTATTCAAAGAAGTTGTGTCATCCAACAGGATGTGTGCAGAGTCGCAAATGGAATTTACTGTGACGGGGGACAAATCAGAAAACTGTCCGCAAGGGCAAAACCAATCTGGTTTTGATGTAGTGGTTGAAATCAATGAAGATGTGGAATCGAGCAGCATGGAAGTGGAGATTGGGGATGAAGACAGCGGAGTGGATATGTTGGAAGGTGAGCTTCATGAATGTGTGACTTGTGGACAAGTCCTTCCTGAAAAAGATATGATCCAGCACTACATGAAGCATGCGGCCAACACAGACAGTCCTGAGCTCTCTCCTGTTAACTGTGCCTCTCACACTACAAAACCATCCTCTCCATGTAGTCCATCAAGAAAACGGCTACGATCTGGCACAGAGTTGTGACCCTTGGTTCAAGAGTATTTCAGTTTTTTAATTACTATTATTTTTAAATGATTTGCCGTTATATTACACAGACTTTACTTCCATTCCGTTTACTTGAAAAACAGGGATCACGGTCATTTTTACCAAATTGAAATTTGGGAAAGATTGGTGTTTGTTTAAACCAAGTGTGTTTTGAATGTGTTCCACTTTTGCCATTTCTTTCACAGTGTCTTTTTGTTTACATTGTCTTCTAGATACAATAAATGTAGATCGGAAATTTGGAAAAATCCTTTCTTTTGTTTTATGTATATTCAGATTTAGCCTTTAGTTTAAGACGACATTTCAGTTTATGTACAGTTTTGTTTTATCGTAAAATGCATAAATAGTATTTGTTTTAGTACTATCTAAATAAGTAAATATTAATGTTATTTGAACTCTAGTTTCATTATATGTGCTATTCTCTAAAATTTTGCAATATACTAACATTTTTATATATTGATTACAGCTGCGTTTGGTCTTGTTAGATGAAAGAACACACAACCATGACACAGGAAATGACAAAGAAAAGCTTATTATTTTTCATCTATCTGTCGGGTAGGTGAGACAAACGGTTTTTTTTTTGTTGTTGTTCCATCTCCGTTTCTTCACCCAGATCTGTGAGACCACCGTGCATTGCATAGTTTGCCGCAATATCCTGTTAGATGGGTGCACTTTTCAGAGAAAGCAGATTAACTGTTTGTTTGTTTTTTTTCATAGAGGTGTAATTTTCCACATATTGTTTTGTGTTGGTGGTTTAGGCCAAATTATGCATAATATTGATAATTGTGTTCATCATTTAATGAATAGGCCTATAGTGTTATTTTGCTGCATATTAGTGTATCGAAGTAAACACTGTCTACTATAATAACATCTATTGCATAAGTTTCTTTTCTCTTAACCTCTTCTTCTTCTTCTTCTTCGTGTGTCCAGCTATGGTCAGTGCTCTTGAAGGTAAGAACGATTTTTGGTCAGCATAGTTATTATTTGTTCAGTCCCTGCTAAAAAAAACCCCCAGCTAAAACCAGCCTAAACTGGTTGGCTGGACGTTTTAGCAGGTTTAAGCTGGTCTCCCAGCTTGGCTAGGCTGGTCAAGCTGGTTGTTCTAGCTGGTCTCCCAGCCTGACCAGCTATGGAGGTGTCCAAAAACCCTCTAAAACCAGCCTAATGACCAGCTAAAACCAGGCAACCAGTTTAGGCTGCAGGGATTGCAATTGCATACAGTTCAAATCAGTCATATAAATTCCTTAGATATTCGACAGACTCCTGCACAATAATTTGTACCTGTTTACATTTCACATGAATGTATTAAACAGGATGTACGGTACTTCACATGCGTCAACCGCATATTCTTTCTCATAGACAAAGGCTCATGTTATGGAGTCGGTTCTGGCACTATAGCGGGTATTATATTCGCTGATGTTACAGTGACGGTCCTCATTGTTACTACCACCTACTGGTACGCCAGCAAGCGCAGACAAAAGAAAGACAACGGTGAGAAATGACATAGACCCACACAAATTTTCTCTAGCAATTCTGAAATCAGTGCACAGAAGACATTTAACATGCACGTGTCCATGTGTTTCTTTAGCTGATGAAGTCTACATGAATGTCAGAGCAAACTGCAAAACATGAAGATCTTTGGAAGACTGACACGAACAATGGAAGACTCACTGACATTTAATACCATAAGACATGATATGATCATAGATGATGATTTATATTTTACATTTCTAGCTTAGCCTATAGACTTGATCGGTGTCGCGTCATAGCTGTGTGGGCGGAGTCGGCGTGGGGGAAAACAGTCCTTCCCCCCTCATTGGAAAAGCATGGTGTTGACCCAGAATGGCCTACATAAAATTATTTCTGCCGCTCGACAGAGCAACAAACGCATAACTGAGCCGTATTGGGTCGGACTGTCTGTACGGTATCTGTGACAGGACAAACGACCCAACGGAATGGCCAGAGATGTCGTTTCCCGATATTTTTTGTTACCTAATTGAGCAAGAGTCAGCTTGTGAAAGTAAAACATTTGTCGTTTTGTTTTGCTTAATTTTAATAAAGTGATAAAGACGTGAGTAAAAGCCTGTCGTACTTTCTTATTGATATATTAAAAAGTTTTTTTTAACATTGACAAAACAGGTAACATTAAGGCCCACTGAAGTGCCTTGAAATGCGCAGCGTTTATTCTGTGCTGTGTGCTGCAGCTGCCTAATTTTCACAAATGCATGCCTTAAAATAAAGATAACATGAAAATATGTATATATTGGGGGGGGCTATGACATCTACCTTGTCAATGCAAGGTAGATGTTTAATATATGCGAATTTGGCTGATGTGTTTTAATTTTAATAAGATAAACTACGAGCGTTTTAAGGTATCCTGAGGGGAAATCCATAGGCTATTTATGTGTGTTAAACGCGAGTAAAACATATCTGGGGGGGGGGGGGACAAGAGGGAAGCGGGAAGACTACCACTATATGATGGCGGCTCCAAAGCGCAACTTTTGTTAATAGAAAACTTTCATTTATTTGTTTAATAGCCTATAAGTGAGTGTCTTTGTTGCTGGGTTTTCATTAAAAAAATAACAATGAACCACAAACTAAGCATTCGTTTTAAATAAGGGAAAATACAAATTTGGGTTACAACGGCTATATCCATCTTATTAATTTTGTCAATGCAAGGTAGATGTTTAATATATGCGAATTTGGCTGATGTGTTTTAATTTTAATAAGATAAACTACGAGCGTTTTAAGGTAGCCTGAGGGGAAATCCATAGGCTATTTATGTGTGTTAAACGCGAGTAAAACATATCTATTTTGTTAATAAAAGTTCAAAGTTTAATGTTTTGTCGTTGTTGTTGTTTTCGATTAATAATAATGAGTCACAAGCATGCATTTAAAGTAAGGGAAAAATCCAAAAACCTTACATTTATTTGTGTTACAACGCGAGTACATCAGTCTTATTCAGTGGCGTAGCAAGTCAACCCCGGGCCCATATGGAAAAAATGTGTACGCTCTTTAATTTGTAGTGAGAATTCGCCTCAGTTCAAGCTGCATATGAATCAGTTATGTTTTCTTCTTTAATATTTGCAACACGAAATAAACATGAATATTTGAATGCATGTTGAAAAAAATCAGAACAACTTAATACAAACGTCTCATGAATCGATCAATCAGAGTTTTAAAAAAAGTAAAAAAGAATGACGGATGTCAAAGACTTTTGGCCTATGGGTGGAATTTTCACATTATATAAAATGATTTTATCTTAATTTTAAATTTATTCTTAAAATATTATGACATTAAATTTTATTCATTAAGTTATTTTTAAACATGGCACCAAAATGCTGCCATATAGGTTACTGAATGCAAACACAATTTTGGCATATCAGCCCAAAAAACAAACAAACAAATTATAAAATAAAAAAAACAAACAAAAAAAAAAAGTCAAAAATATTTCTGATTCAATGTTGACTATCCATCCTCATTGGACGTGGCTTTAGAGAGAAATGCATCTTTACAGATTACATAATGAAAGAGTTTTTGTTTTCGATTTGAATTTCGTTTTAAAATAGTAATTTAAAGCATTCTATAGATATATTTATCATGTGGTGAAGCGCTCCTGCTCAAGACCAAGACGACAGAAAGCGCATTCCTGCTTGTTTTCCTTATTTTACAAAAGCACAAGGTTTTGTTGATATTATGAGTGCACACAAATACAAGTAGACCCTTTGCAGTTCCGAATGATGTATACTCTTACCTTTGAGCAAAAATGACGGCATAAAGTTTCCACTGTTATTAAAAAAAAATGCAAGTGATCGCTGGCACCTTCATGTCCTGCAGAGCGCGCTTTAGCTTCCACTCTCAGCACAAACGATTGGATATGCGCCTAATAGCGCTCATTTATCTAGGTTAAATGTTTACATTAATACTGTGAAATGCATGGTGTTTTATGTCTGTTTATTTGAGGCAAGTCGTGTTGGTTTGAGAAGTCTAAATTGATCAAACATATGCTCAACTCACTGTCTGCCGCTTGGTCGTTCCTTTCAAAAACAAAAACTTGAATTTAACAAACATAAAAAGTTCCAAACATATTTCTAAATTAACATGACCACTTTGCCATTAAAAACCAAGACTGAACTATTTTAATAGCTGTGTAATGGGGAAGTGTCAGGGTTTGGGTAGAGGATGGAGCAAGGACTCAGTACTGCAGAGAAAGGGCTATTGATAATAAAATAAAATAAAAAAACACAACAAAAACTACCCCGTGGGGGAAAAACAGGCTGGCAAGGCAAGGCAAGATCTGGACACGACACATCCAGGGAGAGATGAAGACGAACTGACGCAGGACTGCAAACACAAGGAGAATAAATGGAGAGCAAATGAGGAGGGTAACAGGGACCACATGTGAGGCAAATTAACTAATAATCAGGTAACAAGATGGGAGGGGTCAAGACAATTGACATGAGCACACCGAATCAAAGACAAAAAGCCATGTGCTCACACAAAACAAATCACAAGCCATGTGCTAGAACAAAAGACCAGAACACGCAGCTAATGAGAAAACTCATAAACCGCGTGTTCACACAAGACAACAAGAAAAGCACGCGGCTGAACACACCGCGTGCTACACAAAACACGTGGACAGAAGAGCGCACGGCCGAGCGAACTCGAGACCGCACGCTCCCACAACAGACAGAACATGGAGCGCGAGTGTCCGGACCCCGACACGAAACCGAAACTCAAGACATGAGTGCCGGGATCTGAACACCAAGCTCCAACATGAAACAGTACACGCAGACGAGAGCGCACGCTCACATGAAAACAATGACGTGACGCGAGTGTCAGGGCTCTGTCACAAAACTATGAATTACACTAGACCGAAGTGACAGAACCCTGACAGGAAGAGAGAGAGAGAAAAGTCACTGTATCCAGTCAAAGGACTCGGGCCGAGAATTCTCATAAAGCTGTTGGACAAGGGCCGGGCCGTGCAGGGCTCTTGATTTTTGGATTATATTATAACCTGTAACATGTCTCTGCCGTTCCCAAATTAAGAATTAACAACCGTTTCTACAGACAGCAGAGAAAGAGCGAGAGCGTCTACCTCAGCAGCAGCTAATCTCGCATTCTCACATCTGTAGCGCTTAGTTTGATCTTTAACGTTAGGTCTTTCCTATTCTTGAAACAAAATTAATTCTTAAGGTTGATTCAATATTACTCTTAATGAAAAACACACACACACAACATCAACAATGCTA